AATTTCTTCTTCTTTTTCTCTTTTTTTTTTTTTTCTTTTTTTTGACGCTAATGAATTTGTAGTTGCGTTACAACTGCATTGAAAATCGTGATGATACGGCTGCTTTTATACTTATTCGTTAGATCAGGAACAACGGATCAAACGGACGCGTATCATTGTCAATGCCAATTGTGTGTAACAAATTGCTGAAATTGAATATGGAAAACAAAATAAATATAACATGCGTTTATTTTTCAGTCGGAGATCCCTACGTAATATGTATATTACGCTATGGATATATTTTTCGATTAATTGCGTCTGTTTATTCCCATTCATAGTCAAAATATCTATAGTATCGGATCGGGTTTTTCGGGATCATGTTTCCCCGAATAAGGGGGGGCGTATCGGAAGATATCCCGATCAGAATAATGCCTGATAAAGTTTATAAATGGAAGTAAAAATTGACTATCTAGGCGTACTAAACCAAATTTATTCTGTTGTAACACCTGTTACAACTCAAAGGAAAAACCGATATTTGCCCGAAAATACTGTGCCTTTGTCCACTGATTATCAACGTCAAAGCCAAGTCAAAACAATCGTCATCAGACTTGAATGACATCTGTCCAAATACCAAAGATTGGAATTCAGTATGGGAGGATTGTCTGAATTAGAGCTCAAAGTATATCAATACATCAACGGAAAACCCAAAGTATTATTAGCGTATTTGAAAACCATTGTTCCGTTCCGCTCGTATCGACAAGTTTATTCATAACCCAACCGTTTGCGTAGGGAAGTGAAGGCTCGTCAATTGCCAAGAATTGTGAAATCCCCGTCGAAAATGTAGCAAAAATTATCAACAGTCTGTCACGAAAGGTACACACCCAAGCAAGTTTGTAACCAATTGATTTCCAAATAGAACACACAAGACTTAATCCACATGCTGTGTCTACAGGGCCTCATTGAGATGCGCTCAGATAAAGATGGTAAACTGACGTACAATGCGGTGACAGCTTCTGACAGAAAAAAGTAAGAGTGCAACGTCCGTACAAAAATATTGTTGGCTGTCGTTGTTTAACTAATAAATA